CACTATTCTACTCTGATTTTCTGTGAATACTGAATACGATCTACTGTATGGTTGAGGTATGAAAATTAGTTGTACCCTATCCGTGCAGTTGGCACGTGGTCAACAATAAGCTTCTCTAATCTCTTCATCGCCTACTATACAGAACATACTGCTATACACTGGACATACTTATTATTTAGTTGATATAAACTAGTATTAGACCAATGACAAACTTCTTGTTAACATGATGATGGTAATTATAATTCATTCTTTGGGGCGCAAATCAGTTCATTTCTTTAGCAATCTGTCTTTTACAGACGCCCATTCGAATGGACTGATAGAGCAGAACAGTAATTAAAGAAAGTTTATAAATTGATTTCTTCATTTTACGCCTGAGTCGATCAGTAAAATGTTGTCCTTTGTACTCATTTGTCGTCTTAAAGAAAACACGTCAACTACAGTTAACTTTTCAATAAAAATTTTCTATTATAATCCATATAATGTATACTTATAAATAATAAAGATGTCTATATATAGATGGTGATTTCGAACTATACGCTGACAGATGCAGATAGTATATATGTATATATACTGAAAATATATGTGAATACCTGCTTCATACACTACACCACTAGAGTTGCATCCAGTCTACTATATTCTGTTTCTTCCTTCCTCTCGCCTAAAAGCTTTGGAGAGAAGGAGAATCGACAAAGAAAAGACATAAAACAACTTGATTAAATGGAATTGAATAAGATTGATAGATACTTATACATTAATTATATGTAGTTGTGTATGTTTTATTGTTTAAACATAGATTTTGCTGTATCGTTGAATGTCTTTACTCCCTAATGGCCGCTGTAAAAAAGGCCTTTTTTATCATTCTCTTCTTCGTTACTTTTTGTATAGTTTACTTATTCACTTATTCTTTGATTCGCTCGATAATTCATTCATACGTTCCTTTGTTCATTCGTTCATTTATACATTCATATATATATATATTCATAAAAGAGGAAAATACAGCTATATTTTGATTTGTGTATGCAGAGGAGAACGAAGGAGAGAAAGACAGAGAGAGAGAGAGAGACCAAGAAAAATGTCACATTTAATTATTTAACTTGATCGAAGATTTACATAAAAAAAATTGAAACAGAAAAAACAGAAAATAAAATAAAATTCCTTTTTTTTTTAAACACAAAAGAGAACGGAAAAAAATTTTAACAATTAACACCTTTGTCAATTTATACATGGCGTGTTAAAGGTGCCACTAGGCCTAGTTGTAATATTACCTGCATCTGACACGCCAATTATATGAAGCATTATACATGACTAGTAACAGACATAAGCTAATTGTATATTTTAGAATTGTCTTGGTTGTGAGGCTTTCTTTTGAGAACCTCTTCAATTAACCTAATCATAGTCTCATCCTGATAAGGGTGTCGGTAGGTCCTGCTTAGGGGGTAAGAGGAAGGTTTGGTCTAGCATCTACAAAGCTAGTGGCGTTATGTATCTATGAACTTCAAAATGGTTTACTTTTACAACAACACGTTAAATATAATTAGGAGAATTTTCTGTTGTTACTGTATCAAATAACATTTTACGCCTCCGTCCTTAATTCTGTTAAAAATTATAATAAAACGTGTTTAACCTCTTTAGTCTTGTATTTTTTTTATTGTTGTTATGCATGCGTGTGTGTATGTGTAAGTAAGAAAGTAAGTAACTAACTAAATGAATGAATGAGTGGGTGATTGAGTAAGTGGAGGAGTGAGTGAGTGAGTGAGTGAGCGAGCGAGAGCGCGTGAATGAACGAACAAATGAGTGGGAGTATGTACTTGTATACTGTATATATATACATTTATAAGGTATATGGTGACTACAAATTATGTTTATATTCAAATGCATCAACTCGCTGTAGCATATACCGTTTATCTCTCTCAAACTCTCAATCTCACCTTCACCCCTTCCCGCCTCTCTCACTCCTCAGTTAGTCTAACCTACCCATATGTTTAATTATCAAATTATTAATCAATTACAATAAAAAAAATGAATATTTTAACATTGAAATATACATTATAAATTCTCTATTGAATAATGTAAGAGAAGAATTGCGCATACGAAGTTGAAGAGAGAATAGAGGAGGGTTTAAGGATATTAAATATATAACAACATCCCTGTCCTGAATAATGGAATTTGCCTCAAAACTATAATTTTTGAGTTGTTAATTAATAAATGCAAATAGAATTTTCGTATCGGCTTGTACTATATTTTAAGTGAATTTTGTAATCTCTTTTCTAGGCAAAGAGTCTGTTATAATCGGTTGTGTTTTACAGTTTGCTTGTAATTTATTTTTGTCATATCTCTAAGGCAGCAAGACGCTTTTGTCCGCCTCCTTTAGAGGGAGGAAGCAGAATCCTAAGCTGATTTCCGTAGGCTTTTTTTTCCGTATATTTACGTGTAGCCTTTATCGTAAGACTGATTAAAGAGAGAGAGAGAGAGAGAGAGAGAGAGAGAGGGAGAGAAACAGATGGCAAAATGATGAATATGAAATCACATAAGAAAATATCTCATACATAAAACTTGTACAGTTTTACGACACCTCTACTGTATAACGAATAAGTTATGGGTGTATGGAAAAAAAAGCTAGCCGCCCGCCCGCCTGCCCGCCTGCCTGTCTGCTTGCCTGCCTTGTTTCTCGCCTCGTCTAGGCTTAAATTATGCTTGATTTTTATTTATTCTTTTATTTTTCTTCTCTGTTTCATATTGAAGATCAACTAGACTCTTTTATAGCTCTCTTTACTTATTTTACAAGATATCTATCTATCTATCTATCTATCTATCTAACTATCCATCTATACAAGAGCGTGCTTTGCGTATATCTCCTTGTCTGTTCTCCTCTTGGTTGTTTTACTTGAAAACAGCGTCTTACAAGAGAGATAACGCAAAAAAGTTAGCTCTAGAACTCATACGTAATTCCTAATGATAAAGTCAATGATACTCTATTAATTAGTAGGTTTATCAAGGTGAAGGCGGTCATAGTTGTTAGCAACAAATTTTTCTTGGAAAAATCCAAAGAAAATGCAAACTTTATCCATTTCTTGATTCCTTTTTAGTATCATTTTTTTACGACTTTAATGTTCTCTGCCTTTCTCGTTTTCTACCTTCTCCCTCCCTCTCTCTCTCTCTCCTCTTACATTATGCGCTAGATATTCGATATTTATCAAGCTGTAGGCTATTCTACAAAAGCGGTTTCATCATTAGTCAAAATGAATTAATTCTTGTCTATAGTCACGTTTTCAGTTGGCCTTATATCCTGAAGACAGAAATTAACCAAGGCATGCACCTATAGTTTAGTGGATCTTGTTTCCTCTACCAAGAAAAGTATAGTAACTGAATTTTATTTTTTTTTTCTTTTCCATTCCATTTGTTCTTTCAGTTGAATTAAGATATATTTTTTAACTTGTACATTTAATTCATAACTCAAAGGTCAGCCGAAATAGAAAGAGACAAAGTAAAACAAAGTCAGCCGACTTGATAAATTCACAATTTATGAATTATTCATTAAGATGTGTGCAATAAACATTCTAATAAACAAATGTTTTTCTTTTCTTTTTATATTTTTACATCATTTATGTTTATTACCATTCTCCATTCATCTCTCTTTCTTTCTCTCTCTCTCTCTCTCTCTCTCTCTCTCTTTTCTTTCTTTTTTTTCAGATCTAGTAAAAAATTAATTGATTAGCAGACTAACTTTTTTTCTCTTTCTTTTTTTTTTTTAAATAAAATGACTTTCATCTCATTCATCACTCGAATTACAAGTTTAAAGTTATTTTTGGCCTTTTATCCCTCACCTTTAAAACAGATGCCCCGCAAAACACAGATACATGGGGCACGAAACACACACACATATATATACTGGATATATGATCATAGCTAGTAGTTATATGTTAGCCCATAAAATCCTACAATTATATTATGCATGATAATTTCATAAATATTTCTATTTTCTCTTCCTCTCTCTCTTCAATAATCTCCCTCTTACAATTGTTTTTTCTCCTCTTCCTTTCCCTTTCCCTCTTCCTCCCCTTCCTTTTCTCTCTCACTCATTCACTCACTCTCTCTCTCTCTCTCTCTCTCTCTCTCTCTCTCTTTCTCTATCGCCTTTGTTTTCAGTTCCCTTTTAAAATTTCTCGATCTAAAGTAGTGATGACCTGCAAATGACCTCTGGTAGTTTTTACCTTCTCTATCCCTTGCTTTTTATACTTTCTCAACCTTTTTTGTCCGTTGAGAGGGTTAGATGTTAGGTGAAAGATTTTTGATTAGAAGAATAAATCTGGGTTTTTTTTATTATTTTTTTTTCATTCACCTTAACAGTTTTCTACGCGTCAGAGATGTTTGTTCTTCTTATTATAATATTCCGGAAATATTCTCTCTATTCAATATTCCTGTTTGCTAAATATAGTCGATTGTCTGTTTGTTATGCCATTAACGCCTTAGACGGCGTTATATATCATCGTATAACTTATTGGAGAAATAAACATCTAGTATCCCATTGATAAAGTGTTAATGTTAACCATCCGTAAATTATTCTATTGAAAGTTGAATGTCAAAAGTATAATTTAAACAATATAACCATCTTACCAATACCTGTTTGTTTAAGGGCAAAATTTCCCTTTTCAATAAGACTGAATCTGATACGTTGAGTACGTGTTCCTATGACATTTTTATCAGGTAGACAGTGCACAAATATATTAGTAAAAACATATAAACATATATAGTCCGTAGTAGATTTTATAATACGCTATTAGTACGCAATGTTAGAAATTTATCAACATTTAGCTATTCTTCTAACGTATGTTTACTCTAATTAAGCCTAAAATCTCGTCAATTATATACAAATATTCTACATTAACACCGTTTTATAATGATCCTCTTAATGGGATTTTACTTGAACGAATCGTTTCTAACAAACTGATGACAAATTACGACGATTATGAAACAATTGATAGCATTCCCTAGATACCAACCGTCGGCTTGTGCGCAGAGATAATCCGAAGTTGCAAATTGTTGAGCTAGTGACGTCTTTCCCACTCCGGAGGCACCTACTATAAGGATGTTGTGTTCCTTTATTTCTGCTTCGATAGCGTCTCTGCTCACTTCTCTCAAACGAAGAATATCACCGTGATTCAAAAGACCTCCTTCCGTGCAAGAGAAACTCCGAACTCTGACATATTTTTCCGAGTCCTCTTCATTCTCCCTGATATCTCCTAGTGTCGATCTATCCCTTCCCATATCTGCAGATCTGGATCTTTGCCGTTTATAAATTGACTGGTTAGGTACGGTTAGTAAGTTCTCATTAGGTCCAAAAAAGCTATTCCTTCTCGATCTGGGGAAATCCTCACTTTCTGATACAGTCACTTCAACAGGACAATTTAATTTTTCTGCAGAACTAAAATTACCGGATGCTCTCAATTTAAAAGCTTCGAAATCGTCCATGGTTAAGTTGTTGATTGGCGGACGGTTAACGACGTTTTACCGCTCTTTGCAAAATATATCGCTTTTGGCGCCACTCAGCGATCAATTCTTTTTCCAATAGCCAGCAACCAATAGCATCTCTCTCCCAAGTTTTCTTTTCTCTCCCTACTCTCTCTCTCTCTCTCTCTCTCGCATCCACTCTTTCTCTATCTCTATGTCTCTTTTTCTTTTTTTCCTTCTCTTCACACTTATACATACATACATACATACTATACATACTATACATACACACATACTTACATATATATATATATATATACGCGCAATCTTCGTCTCTTATTCGTTCATTGACCCTCTTTACAGTCTTTCTGTCTGTTTTACTCGCACTTCCATTTAATTACCGGAGATCTAAGTTTTCACATCTGAAAATTTAGCATGACAGGAAATACTCTTTAAAACAATAAATTCTTAGCGTTATTGTTAATTATATCCCTCTCTCTTCCTTCTTCAGACAACACCTCCGCCTTCACCTCCACCTTCTCCATCACTTATTACCTCTTACACTTTCTCAACACCTAATCAACCTTTGTCTTCCTGATTATCAAATTACATAATCTAAGTAACATTTAGTGAAAAGATATTAATCTTACATTAATCATTAGAATTCCGCAAACAATCGTCTAAAAATAGAAACTAGAATAGGCAAAGGACGAGATAACGGCGAAACGTTTACCTTGTGTGGTTATGATAGCAATACCTTTTTTGAAAGCTATAGATATGTTTTCTTGCATCTACAATCCAATAAAGAAAAAAAAGAGAAAACTTGGAGGAAGCAATTAGACCTATTTGTAATATTTTGGTTGGCGTACTAGACCCACATTTTTTTGTGTTACCGTCATTAATTGCTAATAATAATTAATTGCGTCCCTATCTGACTCGTTAATAGATTCACAAGAAACAGTAATAAACAAATATCCTTTGAAAATTATAATTCAATCTATCTCTTTCTCTTTCTCTCTCCTTCTCTACCATTCTTCTCTTTCCCATCTTCCTTTCGGTTTGTTTTACGTTGCTGTTCCTTAGACTGTATTAGAATTTTTCTTGTAGTTTTCTTTGGTTTGTATATACCTATTAGTCCATCAGTGACCCTGTTAATATTGAAATTGTTTAAGTGACCGACCACCTTGACATTCCTATCGTAAATCTGTTTTGCTGTATATTGATTGACTTGACGTAAACTTATCAATTCTATTTAAAAATCCATGGATACATCGATCAGTAGTAAATCTGTTACAATTGTCCTCTTTTGATATATAAATATATATGAATATGTATAAATTAATGTATATATAAATTAATACATATATATATATATATATATATATAAATTATATATGTATATTTATATAATGACTTGTAAATTGCAAAAGAAATATATATATATATATATATAAAGATATTATACATATATTCTTGTTTATTACCTTGCTTAGTCTTGAAGGCTAAGGTTGTTAGACATTTTTACAGCAGTACATATATATATATATATATATGTATATATGCTGCTCTCTTAAACATTTAAGTCGAGACGACTCTGTACCAAGATTTTTTTCTCTTTATTTTGCACCAATTAAAATGCAGTTTACGTTTTCAGTTCAGATTGAGAGAATGAACTTGAAGAGATTGAGAAAAACAGCGTAAAAATATGAGCATAAGATTTCCTCCTTCCTTAATTATTCTCTTCTTGAATAAACACTCTAAATTGTTTTATGTACAAAGGCCGACGCCTGCCTCTTAAAAAATTGCTGCTGTATAGTTGTTAGATATTAGAAGGAGGAGGAGTAGGAAAATGAAGAGAGAGAGAAAGAAAGATGTACAGTAGACACACACACACGCATCGCAAACGCGTACATGTAGAAAGGGAGGGGGAGAGAGAGAGGGGTAAAGAAACTTAGAGACAGGGAGAAAGTGAGAAAGAGAGATATAGAAAAAGAATAAAAGAAAGATAAATATAGAAATAAAAAAAAAAGAAAAAAAAAATCTCCTATCCAACTACACGGACTTTTTAGCAAAGTCCAAAAGCAATCAAGTCAAACAAAAAAGACAAATAGATTTAATTTTGTTTTACCAATATTTTTTTTTCTCTCTCTATCTCTCTCTCTCTCCCTCTTCTTTCATTTTATTCTTATCTTGTCCTTTTTTCTTTTAATTCTATTTTTAATATCATAAATTAGAAAATACCTAAGAAAGGGAGAGAGAGGAGAAGGGATAAAGAGAAACAATGATGATGGGGTTTTCGGAGAAGAATTTTCCTTTTGAAAAGAAAAGAGAAGGAGAAGGAGAAGGATAGAAAGGAAAAGGGGTGAAAGAAAAAAAAAGAAGGCGGAAAAGAGAAGAAATAAGGAATTAATAAATGCACAAGCCGTGATATAGGTGGCTCAATAATAATGATAACAAGGACAATTACAATTATTATTATATTAATAATAATAATAACTAGCTATCGCGTATTCTCACTTTTTATCAGTAATATTTTATTACGTGTGGGCGTAATTAAACAATAATCGATTCTTTTACTATGCGCATTTACTCAGTCGATAAATTTCCTTAGACTAAAACGCAAAAGCGTCTTTAAAAAGTCATAAATGGCTTCTAAGAGATCATTAATCAATCATTCTCACTCCTTAAAACCGCCTAACCTCGCACTTTTCCTATTCTCAATTCCGAAAAGTTCGAACAACTTTACCAGGTTTTTTCGACATCGTATTTGTTCTGCAGATGGCGCTTTTCCGCCCTAAGCGAAATATTCCATTTGATCATGGTAATGTGAACATTTTCAGTTTTGAACGATAGATTTACTTAACGTTGCCTTTTTTTTATACAAATTTGATTGGACTCTCCAACAGAAAATGAAACAGGGTTAGAGAATATAATTGGCATATTTTTAATCATTTCCCACTTTTAACGTCTCTCTTTAAATCATTAAGATTTCTCTTCAATAGCTTTTTTAATCGATGTTTACTATCAAGTATGTTCAAGTGGTATACTTTTGCGGTCGTATACACTTGTCTGCCCGCTCATCTATTCCTCCTCCTCCTACCTCTATTCTTTACGCTATCGTTTTCTGAACAATTGAATTAGTCCAAAAAGCTGCTTGAATATTTGACACCTTGCCAACGTAAATGAATATACACTGTATATATAGATATTTTTCTATACATAGACAATCTTATAAATCAACAAAAACGTTTCTTTTCCCAGACACGTTCAAACTTTTATTCTCTATTCTATATTATAATATTATTTATTTGATAATTGCATCGCAATCTTTGTGTAGGCCTACTTCTGTTAAGAAACAAAAAGAAACTGACCGCCTCGAACTGCTTTATTTACTATTTGTTAGATAATTGCTGAGATTATTTTTAAGAAAGCGAAGATTCTTGTTTATTTATTTCAATATTTTTTTCTCTTCCCAGCTTAGTTTAGATGAGGAGAATTTTTCGTATATAAAAACATCAATACATTTCTCAGCTGCTTCGAAAATTTGTTCAAGAAATTCATTCCACTTTTGACTCTGGTGTGGAAATATTAATAGGAATAGTATGATGCTACCGCGGAAAATCAGGAGAATCCTCGTTTTTTTATCTCTAAGTTGTACCCTACTTATAATCGTTTCTCTACTGAAACCTGACACAGATTCAATTCACTCGATAAGTTCAAAAGAGTTGAAAGCTTTTCGACTAAAGCGATACTTAAAGAGTCTGAATCGACAAGTTAAGGGGCCAGGAGAGAATGGCGAAGCTGTTCATATCACTAAAGACGAACAAATACAACACGATATCGAAATAAAGAAAGAAGGATTTAACGTCGTAGCCAGCAGGAAGATAAGTTTGGATAGGCGAATACCGGATAGAAGAGATAAGCTCTGTAGACACGAAAAATATAATATCAATGAATATCCGGCAGCCAGTGTCGTTATTATATATTTCAACGAAGAGTGGACAGCTATTCTAAGAACAGTTCATAGCGTCGTCAATAGGTCACCTCCGCAACTTTTACACGAAGTTTTATTAGTGGATGATTCCAGCACAAGGCCCGAACTCTTTGAACCACTGCAAAATTATCTACGTAAAACTTTTCCCGACAACATCGTTAGGATCGTTAGGACACCAGAGAGAAGTGGCCTTATCAGGGCTAAAATATTTGGAGCAGAACAGGCCAGAGGTAATAATGCAAAAAGTCAATAGTGACTCCACAATTTGTCTTTTTGGCCCTCTCTCTCTCTGTCTCTCTCTGTTCTTTCTCTCCACGTTATATGTGTCAAGTATTTGTTTTTTATGTATACGTTAAACCAGCTTTTTTTTTGTCTCGTAAAATTCTTCAATTCAAACGCATTGATTGAATGATATCAGCTGTAGCCGATGACGGTTGTTGTAAAGTTATCGATTTCACATTTAATATACAGTATATATATATATATATATACTGTATATACTGTATATACTATATATAAATTATACTGTATATGTTTATACTCTATTTAGTGTACGCGATATAGAATATTGTTGATTTAATCTGATTTTTTATCATCTTTTACGAAAGAAAACTCTCCTAATGAAAAGGGGAGAATATCTTTTTATTATCCAACTACATTCGCTTGTTTCGTTCTCTTCCAGGGGAGGTACTCATATTTTTGGACGCTCATTGCGAAGCGTCCGAAGGTTGGATAGAACCATTAATGAAAAGAATACACGAAAAAGAATCTGCCGTACTCTGTCCAATGATTGATGTGATCTCGTCGTCGACACTGGCCTACTACGGAGGTGGGAGCGGGTCTATCGGTGGATTCACTTGGAGTATGCATTTCACTTGGGAATCCGTACCAGAATTTGAACTAAAGAGGAGAAAAACAAGGATAGATCCTATAAGATCCCCAACGATGGCCGGAGGACTTTTAGCTATTAGTAGGAAATTTTTCTTTCATATTGGCGCTTATGATCCAGGTATGGACATTTGGGGTGGGGAAAATCTAGAGATGTCATTTAGAGTTTGGCAATGCGGTGGATCGCTTGAGTTTATTCCCTGTTCAAGAGTTGGACATATTTTCAGAGATACTCATCCGTACGGGTTTCCAAGTAAAACGTACGACTACCACGGCATTAATTCTAGAAGAGTCGCCGAAGTTTGGATGGACGAATATAAACGATTCTTTTACGCTAAGAGGAAGGATCTTTTACACAAGCAATTCGGAGACGTCTCCAAGAGAATTGAACTGAGAAAAAAGTTAAATTGCCATCCATTCTCTTGGTTTTTGAAAAATGTCTACCCTCAAAAGTTTATCCTCGATGAAAATGTTAAATTCTACGGAAAAATTCGAAATCCATCAACAAACTTTTGCCTAGACTCGCTCAACGGAAATCCTAGGAAAGGCTACAACCTGGGCGTCTATTATTGTCAGGATAGCTTTAATCAGGTATTAAGCTTACAAACTAATAGGCAAAGCTACTAGCCTACTTATACGAATATTTTTTACAAATAATGTAAAATAATTATAAACAAACAGATATTTACTCTAACCGAAACTAGTCAATTAAGAACGGAAGAGAATTGTGCAATATTGCGCAATACTAAAGATGAAAATATCGTATATATGGAGCCGTGTACTAGCACGTTAGTTGGAGGAGATAAATTTAAAATCGATGGCCAGCAACTTGTTCATATACCTACGAAACTATGTATGGACGTCAGCGGCCTTAAAATGGGATCAATAATCAAGTTGGCAAACTGCGACGATTCGTTATCCCAGAATTGGGAATTCATTAAATAATGCAGTTATTTAATATATTAATTTGGTTATTTTGTTATAAAAGAAGAAATAAAAGAAGAAAAATAATGAAAAACATCTCTTCTTAGTTATGACTATTGCGCAATTAAGATTTTTATTAAATCTCCTGCGCAATTAAACTCTAATCCAATCGAATTTCCTCTTCATATGTGTCTTTGATGGTTAGCCGTCTACCAGGTTTTTTCAATCCCAAAAAGATTAAGCTAATTCCTAAATGCAGAGAAAGAAGTGGTTTTCTTTTAAAAAAAAATTCATCCTTTGCTCATAAGGGAAAGGGGAAAGGGGAAAAGAGAGAAGAATAGAGAGGGGAAGCGACATTTTCTTTTCTCGAGTGTCATTCCGATACCTAACTATAAAGGGATAAGACACGGTCTTTTTTTTAAATAATATAAAAGATCTGAATAAATAAGGGAATGAAATAGAGAAGGAGTCGAAGGTAAATATATTCACACAAACTGAATAGAAAGTTATTATAAATGCAAGCTCGTTTTCTTAGTCAATTTTTCCTTTTTTTGCAGTATATGTCTTTTTATTGCTGCTGACTACCTGCAAAAAAAAACAAAAATAATCCATTAGTTTTTACCTGTTCATTTTCACAATCCTCTTTCTAGGACAATTTTGTTGAGTAAAATATTGACGGATAACTGATGAAAACAATACACACGCAACATTCGTAATTAGAAAGGAAGGAGGAAGGGAAAACGGGGTGGAAGGATTTTGTTTATTTATTACCGTAAAAAAGTATATACAGTTCTAAAAAGGTTGATTTGTTAGTTCAGGGAAAAAAGATTCGTGTAATTTTCAACGACGTAAAGTTTTTCCCTACAAGCCGAATGGAACGGAGAGGGTTAGGCTAGAAAGTAGAGCTTAATCAATTAATTAATTAGTGACGGTGGCGAAGAAACAGATACGAATAAGAGACTATTGTCTGTATTTATGTTATATTAATTTTTTCATTTCCTGTTTTGTTAAGTATAAAGCGAATGAAATATTATTACTCCAACTACACATGTAAAGGGAATGGAATAGGGTTAAAAGAGAGAGAGAGAGATAAACATCTGTTATATGCACAGTAGCCGATATAAACTATATATAAAAGAAGAGCTTAAGACATATACACAAGCTGATGGATTGATAGATAAAGCAAAGCTCTTCACCTTCTTTAATTAACTTACCTATAACAATACTTCGATATATGTTTATTGTCTTAATGCTAATTGCTAATCGTTAGCCTTGCTTTAGCGCATGCTTCTCTCTTACTCTCAGTGTACATTTTACTCTAACCCTACTTTAACTAGTGACAAATAATTAATTTTCAATTAGTTTTCTTCTTAATTAGATACCTAAACCATCAATAGAAGCAATTTTCTCCTCTCTTCGACCCCGATTGATCGTTACTATTGTAAGTCGAATAGACAAATTTTTTCCAAGAATCTAATTCCGGTTTTGTATAAGATGATTCTGCGTGCAAGAGATAAACCTTTTGGTAAAATGCTTTTTATTATCCGTTTCATTTTTCGCTCTCTCTCTCCCTCTCTCTCTTTTACTTGCTTTGCGGTCGTGAAGCGGGCGACACTGTTTATCTTAACATATGTAGAATAATTCAGAAAATCGTTGTATACGTTACTAAGGTGTCGATAATTGATCCGTAAATTTTGCGACCATCTAAAGCTAATGCAATTCTTCTTTCGCCATCTCTCTCTCTCTCTCTCTATCTTTCTACCCATCTCTCCAACTTTCCAATTGATTAATCGTAAAGGTTTCAACTTATAAAACAGGCTACAGCTCCCATTCAATAAACCAATATACTCTTTTTTTGCGTAGAAATACAAAAATTAAACCGAAAATCCAAAAGGAAGAAAAAAAAGAAGTCGTTAAGAGGAATAAGCGAAATTAAATCTTTTTATGGTGGGAATTTAAGCGTCCAATTGTAGGTAAATTAAAGACGCCTTGCAGCATATAAGCTTCAAGTCCAATCAGGTTTCCAATCGCCTTATTTTTTTCCACTTTGTATAAATCTTTTCCCCTGACTTTATTTTTTTCTTATCCGCCTAAAAACAGAAAAAAACCGAGCAAAGGAAATAAACGATACATCAGCGTTTTATTAAAAAGGCAGCGTTTAATGGATAAAAATATAGAAACAACAAATAGAAACCAATTCTTTTTCTGTATTAATATTTAATAATTGTATAAAAAAAAGTGGATAATTGTTTTGTAATGGTTTATTCTTCTGGTCTTTAAACAATCAAAAATGTGAAAAGTGGGCTTTCTTCAAAGGCAACAACATCTATTTTTGGTCCCTTTTCATCCATGCATAACCGGTTATAATCCTATCGTTTTCTCTCCTTTTCCCGTGTTTAGAATAATAAAATATAGATTTTTTTATTATAGTATAGAATTATAAGCATTATGCTCTATACCAATATATATATATGTGCTATATATCGTGTTTATAAACTGGAAAATTTCACAGTTGCTATAGAGAATTACAAAAAAAAAGAAACAGTGTGCAGATGCTTTATTAGAAAACAATAAAAGCTAATAAGTACCATTAAACTTAAAAGCTTCGTTGCTGTCACCGAGACGCCTCTTCATATTAATTCAGCTTTTTCTTCACTCTTAGACAATTAATATCTCTGTGGGCGTGACCGAAGCGGACAACATCTGCCTGGCTTTGGGCGATTTAAATGTCTTCTTTTATTCCACAATTATTAGGATGGGGAGTTGAACTATTCCTCCCTTTTTTCTTTTTAATTTTCAAATGATCCATGCAAAATCATCTTTATATTTAATTGACGTATTTACGTAATCGCTTCATTAAGAAATTGTATTTTATAAATGCGTTATTATGTGGAAAAAATTGACAAAACCAATAAACAAACAAACAAACAAACAAACAAGTAAACTTTAAATATGACACCAAAATTTCATAATCTTATTCCCTTATCGTTTTATAGTTTTGCTCTATTCTGATATTTGTATAGTTTTTCAGATAAAATCACTTGAATCACTTGGAAAAAACTTGCTCAGCAATAATTTTACGTTTCTTTCTAAAATCTCTTTAAGTTAGCTATCACTGTTTTACATTCATACTTTCCCCCCTCCCAGGCAGTTGCCTATCGAGAAGTCTGCTGTCTGAAAACTAGCGCCATCTCTTGTTTATAGTCTAGTCTAATTTAGGTATTAAATATTGGTTTTCCGTGTTTCTTTCTACTCTTTTCCCTTCTTTTTCCCTTTTACCGAGGATAACAACAATGAAGAAAACTTATGTCGATTGAGCACGACAACCATACTTAGTTATATACCATACATTTCGAAATATATATGTATATATACTAATAATATAATAATAATAATACAGTATACTGCATAATGAACACATTGTAATTGTTTTACATTCATTTAAATATAGTACAAGATAATTTTGACAGATGGATTAAACAAATACAAACACGAACAGACATACTTGCACAAAGGGAAAGAGAGAAAGAGAAAGAGAAAGAGATAGAGATAGAGATAGAGACAGATACAGAGCGAGCGACGTGAAGAGAAAAATGAAATGGTAAATCAACAGTTAATTCGACAAACGCAAATACTTAGCTAATTTGTCCTCTGTGCAAATTTATCATTGGGCCAAAACCGTAAATATCAATCTGTTTGTCCTCAGTCATGTGACATTGAGAACAAAACGATGTCAAATCATTAGGTTGGGTAGCTAGTCTCTTTGCTCCTGGACAGTCCTTTTCATCGCAAACATGATTGCGCAATTGTTCCGCTCGAGCGGCTGGAGACGTTTGTCTTTTCCATTTCGTTCTTTGAAGATATTAATAGTAATAATTGAAAAAAGAAGCGATAATAAATACAATACTAATTACAGTGTTTTCAGATGATTGTAAAGCCTTTTAAAGCTTTGTCTTACTAAATGAAATCAACCATTCTCTTAATTCATTTCTTATTCGATAAAGAAAAAACAAAATGGTTTACCTCCGATTTTGATACCAAGTTTTCACTTGCGTTTCGCTTAGCTTTAGCTTTTCGGCCACTTCCGCTCTGTCGGCGACGCTCAAATACTTTTGACAACGAAATTTCCTTTCTAAATACTGCAATTGAGCATGTGTAAACGCTGTTCTTCTCCTCCTTGGCTTCTTCTTTCTATCCTTTAGCAAAATTTGAGTTGCTTTTTCGGACTGCTCGTCCGAATGATATTCAATGTCGATATCATCGGAAGACGTATCGGAAGTATAACTTTCAATTGGTCTCGAATTCGGTTGACGATAAAAAGGGAAACTTGCAGGAAAATGGTATGGCAGAAGATTATGGCTGATGATGATGCTATCTTCTTTAGATGAAAGTATATTAAAAGTAAAGGAAAAGAAAAGAGGAATTTACACAGTTGAGTGAAATCTCTTTCTCTTCTAATTATTTCTCTTATCGTTAACATTATTGAACTTAATGAAGTATGCTTAAACAATAAACTTAACCTAATTTCTACTTCAACTTCCGCTAATATAACTAACTCAACTAAATACGAGAATATAGCTACTTTTGCTGTATTTAACTTGAAAATTTACAAGAAACGTAAATTGGAGGAATGAATGAACGAGTGAATAAATGAAAAGTTAAAAGTTGCCTACCTTGGCATTTCGATGTTGCTGTTGTTGTTGACGGTGTTGTTGTTGATGACTGCCCACTATCGTCGATGATATCCTTTATGAAAAATGACTTTCTTCTCTCCATCTAAGCACAAAGAAGCCGGCCAGAGGCAATAAGAAAATTTTTACAAGGCAACCATTTCTAAATTGCTAATTAAGCTACCTCTGTTTTCCCAAACAATTTAAACATCTTCCTTAAACAAGATAAGTTTCTAAATAAACAAATGATACTGTTTCACCGCCGCCAAATAAACGATAGAGATAAGAACTTAGAAATGCAGCGAGAATTAAATGACCCCCCATAGAGATTACACGAAGCTGACTCCGCCCAACTCGTAGCTGATTGGCCAAATAGATTCGGCGGTGTTGAGAGGGTAATTAAAGGGTGATTAAGATGGTAAGTGTGTTATAGAAAGAGAGGCTGTACTTGTTAGCTTAATGAGCAAAAGTGTTGAAGCGGAAAGCGGCTGTATTAAGAGTGTTATGTGTAAATTAGAGTGTTTTACGATGATTTTAGCACTAAGCGATTTTTCTTTAATTTCTGCAATTAAAAATCTTTTACTCTTGATTTGTAGCTCTATTTTTAAATCCAAAAAGAACAGATTTCACAAAATTAGACGCCCTTATTTTTAAATTCTCCGTCTGTCTGTTTGTCTGTCCCTCTCTCTCTCTCTCTCTCTCTCTCTCTCTTTTAAGTTTCCTTTTGTTTGTTTGTAACTTTTTCCTCGTAGCCGTAAAACGGAAGAGAAGCAATTTAACAAACAATTAACAATTTGGCAAACTTGTTTACTAATTCATGTAAAAATATGAATTTGACGAAAAACTTTCAGGCTATTCAAAAACTTTATATTCAAGAGATTATTGAACACTTTTTTAACGCTTAACTAGCAAACCAATTTGGTATACCACCAACAGATTTTGATGAAACTCACTACACGTGTCACGAGCCATAACCTGAAGGGAATTTAATAGAAGGTAGGGGGGCGAAGGAAAGAGAAAATTTGTCGGATATTTTCTATACATTATGAACACAGTAGAGAGCATGATAATTAGGTAGTTAATAATAATAGAAGAGGAGTTGAGGAGGAAGAGGAGGTGGAGAATAAGTCGAATGTATGACGTAGGTAGTCGACTTTCGAGTAAAGAGAAAGAAAATTACGGTATTATTTTTTATGATAAAAAAAAAGTTGAAAAGTAAAGGGATAGAAATTTAGAGAAGGGAAGAGAGGGAGGGAATAGGGAAGGAAGATGAGGGAAGAAATCGTTCGAGAGAAAGGAATATAAAACACTAGTCTATTTTTTTTTTAAAGACTCATTGAATAAATTTGAACAAGCTACATAAATTAAATTTTCACATCTTTTGTATTGCAGTCTGTTTGTTTATTGAAGCGTATTAAATAAATCGTTAGTCACGAATGGACACTATAGCTCAGTAAATTCGTGCCATTTTCTGACTTTTTGCGGTGCTCTTGTTGCGCTTGATTGTCTATTAGTAATAATGAGTTAGACGTTTGCTTTATCATGTGGAAAAGACAGTAGGAAGATCACGAATTAAACAAGCAGACGGTCGCATTCTAACACGGTCTCATCATTTCCCTTCAATAATCCGAAAATTAGCCTTTGAAGATAGACTGTAGCCGATTTATGGCAATTTTCCTCGGTATATCAACTTGAATTTACGGCTTCTGCTATAATAAAGGGACGGTTGCGTCTCATATATTTCCATAACGTAAATTACACAATAATACGCAAATGAAAAGAGGAAAAATGTCAATTTCCCGCAAACAAGCAAGCAAATACGCTAAACTACATTCATTATCGTATCAGCGCCTGATAAACACACAAGTGCGCCAAAATGAGGCGAAATCCACCATGCGGAACGCTTTACGAGAAAGCATTTTATGGCCGTTAACGAAGCAGAAATGAATATTTTTTTGTTTTGGTTTCTTTTCCTTTTTTTTTTGTTATTCATCTTCACTTTTTTTGTTTTTTTAAAGAAAAAAGTTAAAACAAACAAAACAACAAATTAAAGTAAAATGGAAGTAATAATAAGCTAATAATAAAAAGATAAAGTAAAATTTTAGTTTATATTTTTTTTTTAAAAAAAAAAAACTATTCTATTTGTTTTTATTTGTTTGGTTTTATCGCTCTGTCTATGATTTATGGTTCACGGAGATAATGAAATAGCGTTCAACCAACATACACATTTATCGTAAGTCGTTCTTGCACTTTCTTTAGTTGCTTGATGCTTTGAAAAAACTTTTTCAGCTACCTCTGTTGGAATATCTCCTATATTTACATAGCCACCATTCATCTGAGCCAAGTTGATTAACATTTCAGTTGCATTTTGAGTTCCTGCAGTCAAGTATTTCTGTTTTACGGTCGACTTTTCAATCTTGTAAGAATGCATGTTATATAAATCTCGAAAGCCACACGTTGGTTTGCATTTTGATGGTACTTTTACGGGAAGATCTAAAACTCTCGGCGTGTCTTTCCTTATAAGCACGTGACCATGGGCTGTTTGGTAATGTATAAAGTTAATAATCGGCGATGGTACTTGAGGGAGGAAAGTTGATTTTGGCATTTTATTTAACGTGTCATATAGATACGATGTATTCAATATTATAGATTGTGGAAATGTAAATGCAAACAAAATGTTCCTTTTTTTGAATGAAGATTCATTTATCAAAAATAGAAATGTCAACTCTATCTGTAGGTGGCGAAATAATAGCCAAGTTGCTCTTGTATATTAGCGACATCTACCGCTTAGAATAGTCGATAGGCGATAGATGTTGCTATGAAAACTGATAAATAATACTATAGACTTTGATTTTTTTCCATGAAACAAAATGTTAATATACTGTATATATACTGTATATATATATATTTCTAACCCTGAGTAAACTAGAGGAAGGAGGGACAGAAATGAGAGGCAAAAATGAGAGAAGCAAGAAAAGGAGGAAGATACTTCTGTTCTTGAACAAACGTGAAAAAAGAAAAATAAAGCCAAATCGTATAAATTATAATTTACACTTGAAACTAATTGTTTTTTCTTTGTTGTCTATTTGCTGTTTTGCTGCCAGGGTTAGAGTGTCCATAAAAGTTGAATGAAACGCTGGATGAGAATTAATGAGATAAAAATGGCAGAGGGAAGGAGAAGGAAAGAAGAATGAAAAAGACAGGGGGGGTGAAAAATTTATGCGAATAATTAAAATAGAAAATAGGTAAAAGGCAAACGTACAATTTTTACCGTGATGTTGACGGGGCGAAGACGCGCTTAGAGTCCGAATCACGCCAACTTGGGCACCATTTGAAGATATACTCGAATTTAACGAATTTGGGGACGGTAGACGTCTTTCCTCCATATTTTTCTACAACTATATGCTTATATCTGCTTATTTAAAATGCATGGTGACGCTATTTTTCAGGTGCATTTATTGACGTCACCTACGTTCGATTGCGGACATTTGGAGGTCGTTTAGAGCTGTTTTTCTGCAGAAATACTTAAAAAGAAGGAATTTTTAGGTAATAATCAAAGAGCTGACGAGTTGCGGGAGATGACTGTGTAATAAAAGTTAAGAATATAGTCGTAAATTATTCCATTTTCTCTTTAGATTCGCATTTTTTTTTACCGCCAAACCGACTGAGCATGCAAATTAGTCTACATAACCGTGCAGCGTTTGCACTCTACTTTGACAACTTCATCTTTTTTAGATGACAGCATCTATAGGTGGTTTCTTACGCGTAGACTTGGCGCTGTTCTGAAGAAGCATTCGCATTTGAGGAAAAATAATCTACCGCTAATGACAGATGCTGTGAAATATGTTTTTCTCCTATTATATTCTTTCTTAATTTCGCTGATTATGTTAGCGTGAATTGTAGTCGGAGAGCAAAATAGGGAGGAATGGCGTAGGAGGAGGGAAGGGGAGGGGGCAGTTGGTGATGGAGAGAGAGAGAGAGAGAGAGAGAGAGAGAGAATGAAAGACGGCAAAAAAGAAGAATACAAGGAAAAAAAAGAGTACACCAACCAGTTGCAAACAGCAGTTGTTATTGGAATATCGATAAAAATAAGCTCATTTTTATTGGAATCATTTACAGAGAGACTATCTGAAAGATCAGTGAAAATAACAAAGACAAACACACACACATACACACATACACATATGTCCGAAGAAAAGCATGCATACAGTTTATGTATTATGTATATATGTATGTATATAATTCTCTTCAGACACAAAATGTTTATCTTCGTGCAAGTAAACAACACCTTATATTTTAAGTACAATTAGACAAAGGCCTATTGTATATGGTTAAAAATGAGAACACACGCCAAGACTTCCAATATCTTTTCACGCTGCCAAAACTGGTTTATCATTATTACTCGACCAAAATACCACTCGACGTGGCATGTTGGCTTTTGTTCCTACCCTATTTTTATTCATATTTTTTCATTTTCCCTCCATTCATTTGATCAGTCAGATGTTGCCGTTCCAGTTGGCCTGGCAATGGCTGAAAAGAAAAAATGTCATGTTTTAATGTTTTTTTTCTTTTTATGAATAGTTTGTCCTTTTCCGCGTAATTTGTCTTTTCAGTGGTTTCATCGGTTATAGAATAAAAAAAAGAACTAGGTAAATGTATCCCATTTTAGAACATGCGCCAATTTTCATTTGTATACCTATCTGTTTCATCTAATTAGAATGAAACCATTGATTTCTATCATCAATGATACTACCGTCATAGTCTTATTATGATTGGATTGCCACATTCGCCTTCATTGCCATTGCGATGATAATGGTGATGAGGATGAGGAGGAGGAGGAGAAGTGGCAGCATCAGCACAATAGCATCACAGAATCAACATCTCCCTCTCTTAATTCATTTTGTAGAATAAGATAAATAGATCATATTCAGCATTCTCTCAAATGCGAGAAAGAGTCTAAAAATGTTTAAGCATACTCTATGTATTTCTCTTTTTATTATGAAATTATCCCTTGCTTAGCGTAGGATTCTGAAATAGTAAATTGCTGCATTTTGGGCTTTTTGCAGCTTCAAAAGTAAGTCCATTGTGAGGTTCACAATTATGGATAGATGTTAATGATCATTTCTCCCTTTTTCTGATTACCTCTAATGCCATTTAAATGCTTTTATTGACTCGTCTACCTACCATACTCCTTCTTTTGTTAGAAAGTACCTCCCCTCTTTGTTATTATATCGAAAAAGAGTGTACTCGGAAGGGAGTTCGAAGAAAGAAAAAGAAAAAGAACTCTATTATTTGAGATATAGAGAGATTTACAAAGAAAAGAAATACTGTACCTTCAATGTCCTAAAAATGAGTTAAAGATTGTCTTTATTCTTTTTTGAACATGATAGTATTTCAAAATGAACATTGTCCATTCTTTTCTAAGATATATACTAAGTACTGTATATATCTATCTACAATTTTTTGGCATTCGTATCAGGATAGTGTCAGTCAGTTTTTAACTGTAACAGCTCCCACGCATTTAATAACAATTTAAACTATTTGCCAATAATTCAATTTCTACTCTTTCCTTTGAAAGACAAATCAAATTGAAGGGACAAAACGCTGCTGAGTCTAAGAATTGAAAAGTTTATTACTCGGTTGTCCTTTTTGATAGTAGATCTTTCCAGCGTACCTTGCTCATCTTACTGTTATTGTACAGGGATAGGGTTGCTTAATTAATTATCACTGCAGTGCTAAAAAACACGGCTGTGAGAGAAAAGTGAAAGATTTTTATTCTCATCTCTATTTTTCTTCTAAAATGAGAAAAAACACGAAAGTGGTGATATTCTCATATTTTTCATTGTTCCAGTGTTTATTTCTTACTTTTTTTTCACCTTTCCTACTCCTTTTCCTTCTTTCTATCTGTCTATCAATTTATCTATCTACATCTTGTCTTTCTCTTCTTCTTTTTCCAAAAGTTTTCTCGGTATAGATCATATAAATGGCGCCGAACGTCTGAGCAAATACGAAGAGAAATGAAGGAGGAAATTAGAAAAAGAGGTTTATTGATAAATTAGTGATGAGACTAGCAACATGAATGATTTAACAAAATTGATGAAAATGTAGAAATAGAAGAAGGAAGAGAGAGAGAAAAAGAGTAGGAGGAATAAAAGTAGGCGAGTAAGCAAGAAAGCCAGTATATTAAGAGCAGAAGGAGGAAGGAACGGATAAAATATTTAGTAAAATACAATGATTGGTTTTCAAGGAAGATATTTATTTCATTTTGATCATATAACTAAAATATTTAGGAATTTTCTCTCTTTTGTATTGTTTTCATTATACAATTTTTACAATTTCTCTCTTTTAATATTTATCTTTTTTTTCATTTTTTTATCATTTTATCAATTAAAGAAGAAAATGATAAATAAAAGTTTTACCATTCGTCCTTCTTATTTCTTATTGACTTTATTTTTCACTCTTCTCTCTTCAACTTAATTGATTAAATTTCGAATCGAACACTACTTTTAGATCGGGACACGTGTGAAACCATCTTCTATGAATCGTTCCAGTCATCAAACCCACAGTGCAAATATGGTTAGCGCACTCCAACAAAATCTTTTCCGACTGTATTCAATACATATATATATATATATATATATATAGTATATATATATATATATGTTTTTATTAAAGGAGTACACTAACAATGAGAACAATTATATTCTTATCAAACTAGGAAACAGCTATTTTCTCTGGCCGAAAAAGGAAGAGGAAAAAATTTTTTCTTCCTTGTACCGAAAATAACTCTCTCCCAGCCTTTGTCTTTTATTATTTTTACTCGCTAACATAAATAAAGAAAATATTAAGTAACCTGTGACTTGTAACAGCCATAACAAGCGAATAAACATCCGTGTTCTGGGTCCATGTCCTGAATGGGATACGGTGGAGCGAAATTTGCAAATGATGCCTCAACAAGAAGAACAGCTAAACATGCTAGAATACAGCGCATGATATTTGATAATTCTCTGACCCTGAAACAGAAAAAAAGTATGTTTATATAAATAAATAAATAAATATATATATATATATATAGACATATATATAGACATATATATTAGAATAATAACAACTTTATTTAATGATTAAGAAAATACGAAATAATGAAATAAAGAATGAATGAACGAATGAACGAATGAATGAAATGAAAAAAATACATAAAGTAAAACATTCCAAAATATTCCAATACAAAGCAATTTGCAATAATTTAATTTTAGACGTTCGCTGGTTTGTTTTTGTATTTCAATGAGAAATATGGTAAAATCTGCCAGCAAAACTCAATAATTATCATCTTTTTCTGTTTCTTCTACTTCTTCTTCCTCAGCTTTTTTATGCTTCTCAAATGAAAGATTAGAGTTGAATTGCTTATAATAGATTTGAATAGTAAAAAAGTTATCTACTTTACTTAAATAAAAGAGAGAGATGGTTAAAATGATGAGGACGTTAGGTTCCGGGCGGTTGCAATAGCGAATGAGACTGAGAAAATAGATGTCTCTAATTGTCGGCTAAAAAATAACTTTTTTCTGTCAGCTTGAATCGCAAACTTTGCACAATATCTCGCTTTTAATAATGTGGAAAAACTGGCTCCGAAACGCCATCTAGTTGCTATTTCTCTTTTCATTTCTGGCGCATACAAAGTGTTAGTTTAAAGTAGTTTTGAGTGTTGTAAATGAAATATTAAGTTTTTGAAACAAGACCTAAAATGTGTATAACTTTCTTCTTTGCTTTTTCCGGAAGAGAAAGGGAATGGTTGACTAAATTTATACAAGATTAACTGTCTCCGAGCAAAATCATGCATAGGTAGGGAGAGAAGAATCTAATTGGATTTATTCGCAAAAAAAAACTGGACACTGACTCCCTACTGAGGGTTTTAATTGCGCCATCGTTTCCTTGTCAGATGTGACGCGAAGTGCTTACCTTCTTCATGTTGTATTCGTAAAAGAAAAAATGAAATATCTCTGCTATTTGTCTATTTTAACATGACAATATAAAAAGGAAAAATTTTCATAATATCATTGATTTATTCTCGCTAAGCAAGATGTAGTAAAGTTATTAGTGAGGGGAAAAACTAATATTGAGGACTTGTAATTCGCGCCTGCTTCTTTTATCTTCATTTTACGTTTGTATTAGCTCTTGTCTGTCTTTCCCTTTCATCCGCGTATACCGGTAACTCGCCTAATCTCACACATGTTAAGTACTCTAAACAAGCAGTATACAATTCGTTGTTTCTCACTAATGTTTTCCAGTTTCCTTTAAGTCTCTCTCTCTCTCTCTCTCTCTCTCACTTCTCAGGTGTAACAGATTGAAAATTGATAAGAAAGCATAGATGGAAGTTTTTTTTAACTAAATTTAAAAACGGATTCCT